TGGTCTTATCTCTCTGCCGCCCCCCTATTGGCTGCTGGTCACATCTCTCCACTACCACCCTGCTGGCCGCTGGTCACATCCCTCCACCGCCGCCCTGCTGGCCGCTGGTCCCATCCCTCCACCGCCGCCCTGCTGGCCGCTGGTCCCATCCCTCCACCGCCGCCCTGCTGGCCGCTGGTCCCATCCCTCCACCGCCGCCCTGCTGGCCGCTGGTCCCATCCCTCCACCGCCGCCCTGCTGGCCGCTGGTCCCATCCCTCCACCGCCGCCCTGCTGGCCACTGGTCATATCTCTCTGCCGCCACCCTATTGGCCATTCATCTCATCTCTCCGCCGCCGCCCTGCTGGCTGCTCATTTTGCCTCTATACCGCCACCCTGCTGGCCGCTCACCACCCGCTGCCATCCACTTCTTGGTTGTGACTTTTGCCCATCAGTCTCAGATGATTTCAGCTTCCAGTGATTTCAAGCCTTAGCAAGTAGGAAGAAACACAACTCTAACTCTATTAACATAAGAAAAGAGGCACCTAATGATGCCTATTTAGCTCTGAAACTTCAGGGGGTAGCCAAGTTAGTCTGTACAGAATAAACATAAAAAACAACAAATAGTCTGGTAGCGCTTTATAGACTAACAAAACATGTAGATGGTATCATGAGCTTTCGTGGGCACAGCCCACGTCTTCAGATGCCCATCGAAGCTCATGATACCATCTACATGTTTGGTTAGTCTATAAAGTGCTACCAGACTATTTGTTGTTTTTTAAGTTTATCCTATTTAGCTCTGTTCTTTGAAGGGGTGTGTGTGTGAGTGAGTGAGTGAACAGGTCAAACCAGTCCAGGCAGGGGAAGAATAACCAGAATAACCTTCCCTCACTCCTAACCCTTATAAGGCTCTGAAAGTCAGCCCCTGAATTTGCAAGATTCTTTCAGCTAACTTTGAGCCCTTTCATATTTAGCTACCCTCGAATTTAACACAAACGTACCTGGTATTGGGTCACAACAACATCCACTCAGATGTAATTAGCACTGATGTCACACTCCCATCTTTCTTTCTTTCTTTCTTTCTTTCTTCAGAATCTGAGGAAGTGAGTTGCAACTTATACTCTAATACCCTAATAAATGTGTTAGGCTTTAAAGTGCCACTGGACTTTGTTTTTGCTGAAACAGACTAACATCTAAGATCTAAAGAAAGCAGGAGCATACTGTATTTGCATAGAAACACCCAGGGTTTCTCTCCCATTCCAGCTAGCTGTGAGGGAAGCATTCCTTCAGATACTGCTTACATGACCGATGGGGGCATAGAAACACCCAGGGTTTCTCTCCCATTCCAGCTAGCTGTGAGGGAAGCATTCCTTCAGATACTGCTTACATGACCGATGGGGAAACTGAGGCACATAACTGCAACCCACACAAAATCACCCAGAGACACAGCAGCAGAGCCAAGAACAGAGCCCAGGAGTACTGATTCCCAGCTCAGTGCTTTGACCTTAACAACAGCCACGCTGAGTCAAACCAATGGTCCATCTAGCTCAGTGTCCTGTCTTCAGACAGAGAACAGTGCCAAATGCTTCACAGGGAATGAACAGAACAGGGCAATTTATAAAGTGACCCATCCCGCTGTCATCCAGTTCTAAATTCTGAGGTTTAGGAACACACAGAGGATGGGGTTGTGTCACTGACCATCTCAGCTAACAGCTGTTGAGGGACCTGTCCTCCTGGAACTATCTAATTTGTTTTTGAACCCAGTTATAATTTTGGCCTTCGCAACATCCCCTGGCAAGGAGTTCCACAGGTTGACTGTGAGTTTTGTGCAGTACTTCCTTAGGTTTTCTGCCTCTTGATTTCATTGGGTGACCCCTGGTTCTTGTATTATCTGAAGGAGAAATTAATTCCCATAACAGTTCCTTTTTCACTTTTTCCACGCCATTTATTTACTAGATTTCTTAGCATATCCCTAATCAGCTCTTTTCTAAGATGAATGTGCCCACAGCAGCGGAGGGGAGAAAAGAAACTAAGATACTAAAACACCCCCACACTCCCCCATGAGCATCAAGCCCTCGGGCTCTGGCTCTGGCTCTAACTCGCAGGCGCAGCCTCTGAGGCAGACCACAGCAGGCGGCTTCAAACAGCTACCTGTGGTTCAGAGACCCGAGTCAGCACGTCGAACTGGAAATTTTGTCTTCGCTGTGCAATGAGCAGCCATGTGACCTACACAGGGTCACACCCGCCACCCCAGGGGTAATCACACCTCGGCACTGACTCACACCGTCCCACCAGATCACACCCACTACCCCGATACACCCGTGCACAGAATCAGCCCTTGCTGGACAGCTGCTGTGCTCACCCGCCCCCGCACGCACACCTGGGCCCCAAATCAACCCCACTAGATAAACAGCATCCCCCGCTCCTCGCACACTGGTACAGTGACACTGCTACATCCACTCGCCCTAGTTACACATGGCAATGCCATCCACTGGGGAAGAAGAGACACACACGG